GACTCCCCCCACCCCAGATCCACATGCTGAGCCTCTGGGTCCCTACTACTGAAAGACGGGACCCTCAGGAGCTGGCTGAGGACGAATGAGCTCGCGCGCGTGTGCTCCCAATCGGACAGGACTGTCGGCCTTGCAAGAAGACGTGAAAAGACTGTTTTTCTGTGTGTGTCTCTCTCTCCCGCTCTCCCTGTCTCCCCACATTCACAAGCTGAGGGAAAGCCACGTGACACAGCTGTCTGCAAGGCAGGGGGCCCTCGGCCAGGCGGCCACTCTGGCCCTCTGACCCAGGCTGCCGGCGTCCAGCGCTGTCAGGGCGAATTCCTGTGTCTTAAGCCACCATGAATGTCTTTTGTTCCAGCCGCTGAAGGAAGAGATCTCAGAAGGAAGAGGAGTGTGAGAGACTCGCGACGCGGGGAGGCAGCGGGGCCTGGGCGCGGGGGGCTGGGGAGGTTTGGTGGAAGCGTGGGTGCTAAGGGTGATCCTGCTGAGGTCTCAGTGTTGGTGGCACGGGGTGCCCAGGGCCGTTCTCACGGGGCCTCCGGTGCAGTGCGGAGCTTGTCCTTGTCTTCCTGGAACCCGGCTTCGCTGGGTTCTGGCCTCGTGTTGGTGGCAGGGGGACTTATGAGACATGAGACTGGGTCTTCCGTGGCACCGGTTTCTTAGCAGAGCCCGGAGGGGCTGGCTCCTCCCGACTGCTGGTAGGAACGTGAATGGAGAGGAGAGGGTGAAGAAGGAATTGTGACGCAAAATAACACACAGAGGAGGTGCTTTGGAGAGCTGCCAGCCGCCTGTGACCCGGGCTGAGCCGGCTGCACTGCGAGCTAGGAACTCAGCCCAGGTTTCCCACGTGGACAGTAAGGACCCAGCCACCTGAGCCGTCACCTGCTGCCTCCTAGGGTGTCCGTCGGCAGGAAGACAGAACTGGGGGTAGAGCTGGGACTTGAACCCAGGCCCTGCGCTGTGGAATGCAGGCGTCCCGAGCAGTGTCTTAGCTGTGATGCCAAGTGCCCCTACGTGGGTAGCAGTCACCTGAGGGCTGTGACATTGTGTCTGTGTCCCGCTGCTTTGATTTGCATTTCCAAAAGGACAGTGATGTCATCGGCCCTTCGTGTGTCTTTGATGGAGGGATGTCTACGGAAGTCCTTTGCCCATTTCAGATTTGGGGTGTTGGGTTTTAGCAGATCTGTTTATATTCTGGACATTAATCCCTTGTAAGATACGTAATTTGCAACTATTTTCACTCATTCCCTAGATCATCTTTTTATGCACAAACTTTGTTTCCAGGACGTTGTTTGCTTCCCCTCTGTCGCCTTTGCTGTTTGTCAGGTCCAGGACACCGTGGCCACCCGCAGTCCGCGCCGCGTTTGCTCCCTTTCCCTGCACGTCTCACACTGAGGCCTTGGAGCGTTCTGAGATAATTTTTGTGCCTGGGGTTAAAGGTCACGCTTCAGCCTTTCAGGTGTGAAAGTCCGGTTTTCCCCGGCCTGAACGGTGCTGGCCCCGGAACGTGTCTCTAAGTGCATTCTGCCGTCTGACTCCCCTGGAGGCTGTAATCCCTTCACACTGGAAATGCGCGAGGCGTGGTTCTGACCTGTTCCTGTTTCCATGCCCCTGAAGACCTTCGGACCTGCTGGCCCTGGGGTATCCTCCTATGCGTTCGGCTGATTTTGGTAATGTCCCGTTCCTCCTGGCTCCTCTGTGTGTATCCTCTGCCTGGGATTCCACTGGGCCTCTGGGAGTTGGAGCACTCTGACCCGACCCGGGCGGCTTACCCTGGACCACGGCCGGGATGCTGCAGCTCTGTCTGGCTCCTCCAAGTCACGTCTTCCTCGTGTGTTGCCCAGCACATCAACGAACGACTTTTAGATGCTTTGCTCTCCTAAGTTATGTGGAAAGCAAATGTAGGCCTGTAAACCAAAGCTGCAATAACAGTATCTTCTAGACCAGGAATGGACTAGGTTTTAAATCGCAGAGGAAACAAAAATAGGGTAACCGTGGCATTGCTTTAAGGTGAGCTTCTCAGTTGTCTAAGCACCGCCTTCTCCAGATCTGTACTTCATTCATCCTGGCCACGAGGACAGCCACTGCCACTGCCTTTCATTTACCTGGTGGGGCTCCCTTAGGAGCTGGGTGCACGGCAGGCCTCACGGGGCTCCCTTAGGTGCTGGGTGCACTGCAGGCCCCGTGGGGCTCCCTTAGGCGCTGGGTGCAGGGCAGGCCTTGTGGGACTCCCTTAGGCACTGGGTACAAGGCAGGCCCCACAGGCTCCCTTAGGCGCTGGGTGCAGGGCAGACCTCCTGGGGCTCCCTTAGGCGCTGGGTGCATGGCAGGCCCCACGGGGCTCCCTTAGGTGCTGGGTGCAGGGCAGGCCCCATGGGACTCCCTTAGGCGTTGTGTGCAGGGCAGGCCTCATGGGACTCCTTTAGGTCCTGGGTGCAGGGCAGGCCTCCTGGGGCTCCCTTAGGCGCTGGGTGCAGGGCAGGCCCCACAGGGCTCCCTTAGGCGCTGGGTGCAGGGCAGGCCCCGCGGGCTCCCTTAGGCGCTGGGTGCACAGCAGGCCTCGTGGGGCTCCCTTAGGCGCTGGGTGCAGGGCAGGCCTCGCGGGGCTCCCTTAGGCTCTGGGTGCAGGGCAGGCCCCGCGGGATTCCCTTAGGTGCTGGGTGCAGGGCAGGTCCCGTGGGGCTCCCTTAGGTGCTGGGTACAAGGCAGGCCCCGCGGGACTCCCTTAGGCGCTGGGTGCACGGCAGGCCTCGTGGGACTCCCTTAGGCGCTGGGTACAAGGCAGGCCCCACAGGCTCCCTTAGGTGCTGGGTGCAGGGCAGGTCCCGTGGGGCTCCCTTAGGTGCTGGGTGCAGGGCAGGCCCCACGGGACTCCCTTAGGTGCTGGGTGCAGGGCAGGCCTCGTGGGACTCCCTTAGGTGCTGGTTGCAGGGCAGGTCCCACGGGAAGCAGCTCCTTCAGCTTGTTTACCTGGGAATGTCTCAATCCCCCCGCCGCCCCCTCCCGCCCCCAGAGGCCTGTTCAGCTGGCCGGAAGCCTCTCTGTGCTTTGCTCCCTTTAGCCTTTTGGGTGCGGCAGCCTGCTGGCTCCCACGTCTGAGAACTGGGGTGGTCTCACTGAGCACCTCCCGGACGCGACGGGTCTCCCGCCTGCTGCCACCCACGACACACTCTCTGTCTCTGAGTCTGATGAGGCGGTGGCTGAAGCCTCCTGGAGTCCATCATTCTCAGCATTGGCGGGGCCTCCTGGACGCTCGGTTTTCGTGTCTCTCATAAAATCTGGGAACCGTCGCGTCACTCTTTCCCGCTGCTGTGCACGTGCCGGGCTGGCTGTGGAGCTGCCCGGCCCTGGTGGGCTGTGTCCGGCCTCCGCAGGCCTCTCTCTCCTGCCTGCAGCATCGCCGATTCTTCTGCCTGCTCCGGTCTACGCTTGAACCCCTCCCGCAAGTTCGCAGCTGCTTTTGGTTCCACGTTAGGTTCTTTATCTCTGTGTTGACGTTTCCATTTTATTTATGACTTTAGCCACAGCGTGTTTTAATTCTTTGAAAATGTTTACAACAGTTGTTTAAAAGTCTTTGACTGGTGGAGCAGATCTTTTTCAGGAATAGAATCCGGTGATTGGTTTTTGTGTGTGTGTGTGTGTGTGGTTTGGATGCAGCTTAACGTTCCTGTTTCTTTATATGCCTTGTGACTTTGTTGTTGTTGTTGTTAAACACTTGACATTTGAGTGTAAAAATGCGAGAGCTCTGATAGACGACTATTCTCTCCTGGCTTTGATTTTATTTTGTTATTTTGTTATTGTGTTTATTGCTTTTGTTTGTTCTGGCTGGTCCCTGTGCTAAAAGTCACCCTGCATCTCTGTGCCAAGTGCCAGCCTGCAATGTAAACTTCAGGTCTTTTCAGTTTGTTTCTGGGATTCCCTTGAGTGTGCACATTTTCTTTAATTAAAAATTTATTTATGTATGAGAGAGAGAGAGAGATCCGCTCACTCAGAGTGCCCACCATGGCCCGGGCTGGGCCAGCCTGAAGCCAGGAGCCAGGAGCCAGGAATTCCCTCCAGGTCTCCCACATGGGCAGCCGGAGCCGAAGCGCTTGGGCCATCATCTGCTGCCTTCCCAGGCACGTTAGCAGGAAGCTAGGCTGGAAAAGAGCAGACAGGACTTGAACTGCCACTACAACATGGGATGCCGGCATCGCCCGTGCAGCCCGACCTGCTGCCCTAGAACACTGGGCCCATCGTGCACACGTTCTAACCGACCCACGTCTCATCCTCCCAAGAGGGAAAGAGAGAAATGGAGGGGCGGGGGTCAACAGCAAGGGCCCCTCGATGCCCCGGAGGGGAGGGACTCGCAGCACAGCAGCAGTGGGTGTGGCCGTCCCCTCGTCTGCCCCTCTGCCCTCAGATGCGGGGGACAGGGCGCGTCGTGCCCAGCCCCCTGGCTGCTGCCTGCTGTGTGCAGCGTTGCCCCAGGAGTGGGGCCATGGTGGGGGCGGGCACAGTTGCCAGCGTGCTGAGACCTGAAGTCCACAGGCCTTATCTGTGACTCCCTGTTCCTGCTTCCGCTGCAAGCTGCGAGCCTTCCGTGGAGGCCAGAGCCCCCGGGCGCTCACGCCCGACTCTGCTGGGTGGGTTCCGGGAGCTTCCTGATTCCCAGGAGCCTCTCCTGGCTGAATGGCAGGGTGCGGACATTGAGAAAGGGCGTCCTGCGACCTGTTCAGCGTAGACCGACTGAGCACAGCACCTCGGACACTGCCACAGTGAAGCGTCCTCCCAGGGATCAGGTGTGACCCACGTACGCACGTATTCTACCAGCTTAAAGCAGTAATCGGAAAACACACACGCTCGTCTTAATTTTCTCACGGGTCCCTCAGTTAGTGAAAGGTGATTGAAAGCGTGTTTTATTTTCAATTGCAGCTTGCCACGGCCACCTTGGACGGCAAGCTCCAGCTGTTCCACGCTGAGTAGCCGTTGGCTGTGAGCTGCCCAGGAGCGCGAGAGGGCGACTCGATGGTTCGTCCGCCACTGGGCCGGAGGCAGCGGCAGCTTCCCGCGGGCGCAGGTCTGTAGCGATCCCGCTCCAGTGGCTTCCCGCCGTGCTGCCTAGGATTTGGTGAAGTTGGCAGAGTTAACGCAGAATCTTCTCTCTTAATAATAAAAAGTGAACTACTATTTGTAGTTTGTTCTGTAATTAGACTCTGACAGAAAAAGACAGGGAGGGAAGGAGACGCTCTCTTCCGAGCAGCAGCTTGTCCTGACCAGCTCTGCCCTTCCGACCCGTGTGCCCCGGGTCTGCCTGGTGAGCCCTGGCCCCTGCCCAGGGGACTCTGTTGCTGCGCACAGCCTGGCTTCTGGGCCTTTGCTCCCACGTGTGAGGACTGAACTGTCTGTGGGGAAGGCCCTGCTTGCTGGACACCGCTCAGAGATGAGTCATCTCTGCATGGGCCAGGCTCCAGAGATCCAGGAACCAAGTCTTTATAGGGTCCAGGAAGAGTCGGGATGCTTCCAGAACATTCCAGCTTCCCAATGATGTCATTGCTATCTGATGCCACCCACGGTGGGGCCCCGGGGCTAGCCTGGAGGTCGTGAGGCTTACCCAGGCCTTCCTGGCCGGGAAACACTCGGCCTCCTTTGAGCTCGCTTTCCCGGGAGGCACAGCTCCGCCTCCTGGGAGCGTCGTGGGCTTCGCTTCCCGGGCTCCTGGTTGGGAATTTTACTCATTGACCACATCCATTCCTGCAACATTTTTGAGAAGCAAAAGGTTAGAACAACTCAATTTTTAAAAAACATTTATTCATTTATTTGAAAGTCAGGGTTTCAGGGAGAGAGACACACAGAGATCTTCCACCCACTGGCTCACTTCCCAAATGGTTGCAGTGGGCCATGCGGAAGCCAGAATCCTGGAACTCCATCCAGGTCTCCCAGGAGGATTCAGGTCAGCCTTTCTGCCCCCCCCCCCCCCCCATTAGGGCACTGCCCAGGGGCTGTGGGAATCTCAAATCCAATCCAAGTTATCAGGCAGGTGCATGCAAATTCTGCAGCTGACAGTGATGAGGAGGCGAACTCTGGGGCCGACTGTCTCCCTAGGCCTGTGAGGACAGTGACCAGGTCACAGATGGCAGAGGGCTCGGGTCAGTGCAGAGCAGGTCCCGCGACCTGGCTGGGAGGAGTAGACTCTGCATGGAGCGGCTGGAGCTCTGCGCCCCCTGGGTGCGACAGTGGAAAGAATGTGTTCTGGTGAGGACGCTCAGGCTGCGGAGTGTCGTCTACACCTCCCCATCACACCCCTGCGTCCTCCAGGTGGTGCAGGCTAGCGAGCTCTGGGTGCTCCTGCACCTCCCCACCAACACCCCTGCGTCCTCCAGGTGGTGGTGTGGGAACTCTGGGTGCTGTCTACACCTCCCCACCAACACCCCTGTGTCCTCCAGGTGGTGCAGGCCAGCGAGCTCTGGGTGCTGTCTACACCTCCCCACCAACACCCCTGTGTCCTCCAGGTGGTGCAGGCCAGCGAGCTCTGGGTGCTCCTGCACCTCCCCACCAACACCCCGCGTCCTCCAGGTGGTGCAGGCCAGCGAGCTCTGGGTGCTGTCTACACCTCCCACCAACGCCCCTGCGTCCTCCAGGTGGTGCAGGCCAGCGAGCTCTTGGTGCTGTCTACACCTCCCCACCAACACCCCTGTGCTCAGCGACTCACGGTCTGCAGCCCTGGGCTTCAGTGCTCTGAGCAGAAAGTGTTTGAGGATAGGAAAATAAATTCTCTGGGATGAAAATGTCATAAAGTTCTTGGATTCAAATACAAATTTTAAGTTGTTTACTAAGTATTTCACCTGGTTCAAAAGTTCCTTAGCGGATAAATTCTAGCTTGAGGCCCATCCCTCGTAAACGCTCGTTAGACTTTCCGTCCCAGCCGCCTCCATCCATCACGGCTCTGTGGCAGTCTGCTGTCGTCTGGCAAAGTCATCACAGCGCCGTCCTCAGCTCAGGGCCCGCGCAACCCCACGGCGCCCCTCGGAGTGGGGCCTCATGGAGCCCAGCCGAAGGCGCGGTGCCTCGCCTCTCTCCCTACTTTCTGGTCCCATCTGTGCAGACTTTCGTGTGAGCTGAACTCAGCCAGTATGTGAGTGGCTCCTGGAAAAATAAAACTGAACCTTGGACGAAGATGGAGATGGCTGGAATCAAGGCTGGCAGGTTCTGCCCTGACCAGGCTTTGTGTTGGTTGGCAGTTAAACCTGGTGACAATTCACGTGCCGCCCACGTTTTAGTAGGTCCTTAGCCTGCATCTCTAAGCCAGTGCTTTATCCTCAATTCTAGGTGAGTTACTGAACGGCTTTCGATCACAAGAAATGCCCGATGTCCCGAGGGCCTGGCTGCGGGGCTGACCCCCACGTGCAGGGTGGAGACTGCAGACAGAGGAGCTCGGCTGACCCCGGGGTCCAGACGTGGCCTCACTGTTCTAGTTTATACTTCTCAGGAGGGAGAAAAATCGTTCATTACCCCGGATTTCTCATGTGTACAAACAGGAATCAGTGGGGAAGAGAATGAAATGCAGAGAAACAGGGACGATTAGAATACAGAGGAAGAACTACTTCTCTCAGCATCTCTGCTCTCAGACAGTTGAGTTCAGACCAGAAAACTTTAACTTCACACTGATTTACGAGATTCCCACCAGCACAAAACAAATGGGCAGCGCCCAGTATCGGCACAGCATTGCTCCCTCTCCGGTTTGCGCCGTCCAAGGCAGCAAAATACTTTCCACTTTATAAAATCTTTAAAGCCGCCAGGGGAGATGTGCTGGCCGGCTCGGTGCTGGAGCAGACGGTGCTGCAGCAAGCAGTGGAAAAAGTGTGAGGAGACCAGATTTTTCCACAATTCAGCACGAGCCAGAGTCTGGCCTGCAGCTCCGGGAGCCCGGGAAGCCGTCCGTGCTGAGCACCCTGCCAAGCCCCTGGAACCGGATGGAGCAGGAGGGTGCACACGGCTGTTTCTGGGCACAGAAAACGCACGTGCAGGAGTGACTGCCTTTTCCTGTTTCTCCTTCCTCTCAACATGGTGCTAACACGGTTCTGTATTCACCAGGAGAAACGGCATAAAGCGGTTTTCTCTGCAGGAGCTGTTGTTTGGACAAGAGCGTTCCAGAGCAGAGACAGCGCCCTCCAAGTGGATCCAGATGTTATTTAAACAAAGGCCAGTCCATTCTGCATCCAGATAGCCGACGGCTTGCTGGATGTGCTGAAGGCACGCATACTCACCGTGGGCCTGTTGAGTGCTCCCGAGAGAGGACGGCATAGGTTGGAGGAGCCGGAGGCCTGGAGGCGGACCTCCTGACTTCAGACCGCAGCCGTGCTGGTCCTGACGGCCCTGGGGACATCCCCAGTGCTCTCCTCCATCCTAAGATGAGGGTGTTAGCGGTGACCGTGGTGGACTTGTTGCCAAGACACTGTTAACTTCTGTCTGCCCACAGCCATGGCTTTGTAAGTACGCCTTGAAGGCCTGAATCCCAGGGAGTCACCGCTGTTTCATGTTTTCCCTCCATTCCACGCTGCTGTAATTTTACTCCGATCAACTGCATTATATGTTGTGGATGAACACTTTAAGGATATTAGCCTCCAGTTTTGAATTCAGCAAGATGACAGAGGGTCCCTAATTCAGCAGGATGTCAGAGGGTCCCTAATTCAGCAGGATGACAGAGGGTCCCTAATTCAGCAGGATGTCAGAGGGTCCCTAATTCAGCAGGATGTCAGAGTGTCCCTAATTCAGCAGGATGTCAGAGGGTCCCTAATTCAGCAGGATGTCAGAGGGTCCCTAATTCAGCAGGATGTCAGAGGGTCCCTAATTCAGCAGGATGTCAGAGGGTCCCTAATTCAGCAGGATGTCAGAGTGTCCCTAATTCAGCAGGATGTCAGAGTGTCCCTAATTCAGCAGGATGTCAGAGGGTCCCTAAGCTGCTGCGATTGTCTGCGTACATTAGCCAGAGTCCCCTTCATGTTTGGGATTTCTGTAACTCTGATCACTTAGGAAAAAAAGAAAGCAAAATCCCCAAATTAGGTACTTTGCACCGTTGTTTTCAGTACTTCTTGAACAAGCAGGCCCTGGCTTGTATACCTAATTCTAATCTAGTTAATTCCTAGAAAGAATATTCAGCTCGGAAGTGAACTAAGCAGAAAGCAAGCGCAGACTCGGAAGGCGATGTCTGGCGAGTCCCAGTGACGCCATTTACACCCAGCATTCACGGCAACACACACACACACACAGGAATCAACACCCGCCCTCTGAGTCACGTCGCCCGCGGTCATGAAGACAATCAGAAAGTCAACCGAAGATTCAGCTCCTTCATGCCTGAGCACCTGGCCCTCGGAGTTCCGGGCACGAGCAGTAATGAGGCGGCTGAACATTAACCGACGAGTTCATCTCCTGGAAGAACCAAAGCCCGGCAGTAACGGAAGCCAGCAGTAGCGAGGCAAGACGTTAAACTCAGCCAAGCATGTCCCCTGAGTGGTTGTGCACACAACTCTCGGGCACAGACTCAGCGAGGGCAGACGTGAGGAATCAGCCCAGGAGCTCATCCTCTTCCTGAAGAACCCAACCCTGTCAGACACAGCGGGCAGGAGGGCGGATCAGAAGTGAACCAGGGATCTCACGCTGGCAGGGACGCCGGCTGCGCTCGCTACAGCAGCGTGGTCACAGCCTCTGCCTGGGCCTGGGCAGCTGCAGGGTGCGGGGCCTCTCCCCACAGCCTCTGCCTGGGCCTGGGCAGCCGCGGGGTGCGGGGCCTCTCCCCACAGCCTCTGCCTGGGCCTGGGCAGCCGCGGGGTGCGGGGCCTCTCCCCACAGCCTCTGCCTGGGCCTGGGCAGCCGCGGGGTGCAGGGGCCTCCTCACAGCCTCTGCCTGGGCCTGGGCAGCCGCGGGGTGCGGGGGCCTCTCCCCACAGCCTCTGCCTGGGCGGCAGGCAGCACCCCTCTGGCCGTCTGTGCTTTGGAGAGGACCATGACAATGATGCCGTGAGGTTGACATGGAATGGCTGGGCCTGGCCGAGCGTGAGGAAGCACTCTGAGGTGCGCTCCCAAACACACTGCCCACACAGGGCGGATCTCCAGGCTCCCAAATGCTGAGTCCTGGCCGTTAGTCCTCGGGACTCCTGCGGACATGGGCTGCCTGCTCCACACTCCGACCTCAGCAGGTGCGGTCGGTGGAGCTGGTCCCACGCCCGGCTTGGCCCTGACTGTGCACCTGACCCTCCTATCTTCACTGGCCGGCGGTGCTGATGTGCTCTGGCCTGCAGCTGTGGGATGGAGGCCCTGGCCAGCTGTGTGTCTCTGCTTCGAAAGAATGCGTGCAGGCTCTCTGCTCTGTCACATGGGAGAGCTCAGGTCTGCTTTTCCCACTTCTGTTCACTTTCAGATCGCTGGTCCCCGTGGACACTGACCCCTGTGCCCTGGAATCCAGTCCTAGCTCCCTGGGTTGCAAAGCCGCCTTAGGGCCCAGCGAAACCCTGGCCCAGCCTCGCCCCACGACAGCCCTCACCGCCCTTCTCACAGGAGTCTGACATGGAGCCACTCACTGCGGGCTCCAACCAGAAGTAAAACCGGAGAGTTTGCTTCAGGAACGGAGCGAGCTCTGGAAAGCATGGGTGAAGGCTCACGTGCAGGATGCTGTCAGCCGAGCTGCCTGCGGCTACCATGCTGATCTCCAGAAAGAAAAAGTATTTTAGAAGGAGAAGATCAGGAACGTGAGTCACTTGAGGGTTTCCCATGAAGACTGAACTGCAGTCTGGCTCTCCCCTGTGCGGTGGCCTGCAGGTGGTCAGGCTGCGCCCTGCCCCCCAGGGACGTCTCACTCAGTCGCAGGCAGAGCCTGGCCCGCCACACCAGGCGGGAAAGGCTGACTTTGAAATCCAGAGTCAGAGCCCACAAGCAGACACGGTTGCCAGGGACTGGCTGTGGCTTCACCTTGCAGAGAGCAGTGAACCACGGCCACGGCCAAGCCTGCCTTTGAGCGAACAGAGCTGCCATGTCCAGAGAGGGACAAAGACAGTGTCAGAGACAGACAAGGCCCAGTCTCCCTCCTCCTTTGGTGTCACGAGAGCCGTGAGTCTAATAAGGGCCCCTTTTCATATCAGCGCAGATCACCTGACATGGCTGTTACAGCTTTTGGTCAGAGCAGACATTAGAGATGTCTAATCTGGAGATGAGCTGGTGCGCGGCTCACACAGAGGCAGCACGAGCCCTCGCCCGACGCCACAACACACAGGGCTTCCTTCTGCCCTTGACGTTCTGCACGGGGAAGTGTGCCCCGTGGAGTTGACGCGGGAGGCCCAGACACGCTCACCCTGCACCCCAGGTGAAGGTGAAGGGGGCGTTGCTGTCTTCAGGGTTTGAAGGAGACAGCGCAGTGCAGGCTGTGGAAGTGGGGGTGGTGGGGCTCATGTGGAGGTGCCCAGCTGCTGGGCTGCTCTGGGGGCAGCAGTGAGACGCACATCTGGAGCCTCTGCCTGTCCCGGGAGGAAGCCAGACCTCGAAGGCTCAGTGAAGTCCCCAAGTCCCACAGGAGCACACTCCGGGCTTCCGGGTCCAGGGCTCCCGCTGGCCTAAGCGGCGTGAACGACATTTGGCCTCACAGCCATGGTGCCCCCGAGTGCCTCCCCGCATGCGTGCTGAACCCAGAGGGCCCGGGTGGCCGAGTTCCCAGACCACTCCACCTCCTGCAGCCTCGTGAGCCCACAGCTGGCAGAGCTCTCTAACCCAGGGCTGCAGGGAGGAACAGAGAAGTCCCCGTTCTGTCTGTCTGCCCTTCCTCTCTCTGCCCCCGAGAAAACAGCAAGGACGTTGCGCTGTACGAGGGCTCGGGCGCTGGCACCAGTTCATCTGCACCGCAGATGCCCGTTTGTCCAGCGAGACCTGAGCTGTGTGTGTGTGGGGTTTGGTTTGGGGTTGGCACCGCGTCGAGGCGGGCACTGAACCTGGGCAGTGCAGCCTTACAAAGATGCTCTAGGATGTGCTACACAGAAACACAGAAACAGGATCATCACCCTGAAAGAAGTGAAGGCAGAAAGTCTCCCGTCGAAGTACAAAGCAAATCCGAAGTAAACAATAGGGACATAACGGAAGAATGGCAGGGCCAAGTCGCTGCTTCCCACTGCACCTTGAATGTAAACAGTCTCAGCTCTCCAGTTAAAAGATACGGACAGGCTGAGTGGAACAACGAAACCCACCTGTTTGCTGCCACAAGAAACACATCTCACCAGCGGACACGCGCAGACTGAAATGAAAGGACCGGCTTGCTTCGGCAGCACACATACTAGAATCGGAATGAAAGTGAAAGGCTGGAAAAAGATACTCCACTCCACGCTAACAGTGACCAAAAAAGAGCTGATGCAGCGATAATATCAGACAAAATGGAATTTAACACAAAAACCCTTAAACAAAGAAGGGCAAGATTAAGGGATCAGTTCAACAGGAAAATGTAACTATAATCAATGTATACACACCTGATTACAGGGCACCTGTCTATTTAAAAGAAATGTTAGTGAATCTGAAGGGGGACATAGACTCCAATACGATAGTGACCGGGACTTTCAGCAATGGACAGATCCAGCAGCAGGAAGTGAGCAAGGACACAGCAGAGTTCATCCACACCACAGACCAAGTGGACCTACAGGCCTACGAACTGTTCGCCCTACCGCTGCAGAATCCGCCTTCTCCTCACCTGTGCACGGAGCTGTCCAGGACTGACCACATGCCAGGCCATAAAGCAAGTCTCAGCCAGGTAAAACAACCGGACTCACACCCTGCACCCTCGCAGACCGCAAGGAATGAAGCCGGACATCAGCAACCCGGCACCCCCGGAGCATGGCAGACACGGGGAGAGCCAACAGCGAGGCCCGAGGGAGCGGTGCGTCCCGGGAAAAATCAGGAGAAACCAAAAACCGCTGCGGGCAGGGTTTTCATGCTATTTGCTGAATTCTTCACTTAGTATATCTTCAGTGTAGAAAGTTAACCGAAAGTAGATCTTCGTAAAAACAGGAACGAGAACGGGAGAGGGAGGGGAAGCGGGTGGAAGCTCACTCCGTCCCTAACGGTGTCTTTACAGAACGCGCGAGGTCTGTGCGCCGCAGACGGAAGGGAGACTCTGCCCGCGCAGGAGGGAGGCCCCGGAGCCCCGCAGGCACGCAGCGTCGTCGGCCGCCACCCTGTGACGCCACCGGGGCCGGCACCCGACACCCCCTCTCCTGGGCCGGCACCCGACACCGCGCCACCCCAACGGCCACGTGGCGGCCGACCCCAGCCCTGCCGCACCGCCGACGCAGGTCGCCCTCACAGCGCAGCACGACGTCCACGTGGCTGACGCTGACCCCATCATGCACCGGGCGCCGTGCGTGCGCCCTCCTCACAGGCGCGTGCGCACCCGGATGGGCCGCTTGGCACGTGCACCTTCCCAGCATGCACCTGTCACACGCGGGACCAGCGCGCATGCTCGCACCCCACCGCCGGCTTCCTCACCGAGGGAGGTGGGGGCGGGCGAGCCGGGTGCCGCTCTTGGCCGCCCCCTCACGGACGGGCCCTCCCAAGGACGGGGCAGCGCGAGGTGGACGCCGCTCCCGGGCACGCCCGGCTCTGCGGAGGCCGGAACCCGGACCCGGAAACCCGCAGCGTCATAGTCCACGCCCCTCGGGGGCTTCCTGCCCAGGCGGGAAAATGGCGGGAAAACGGGCGGACCTGCAGCCCGGCCCGCCCGTGCTCCGGGCAGCGTTGTGTGCCGCTCGCTGGCGATCGCCAGCATGGACGACCCGGCCCTCGCGCCTTCCCTTTGCCGCGGGAGGGCTCCTCCCCGCGGCGTCCACAGTCCCTCCCAGAGCCTGGACCCGGCCGTGAGGCCACAGCGCGCGTGTTGGAGCCCGAACAAAATCACGCGGAAGATGAAGCCTTCGCGTATTACAAAGTACCCGGGAGTTTCAGTGTTCCAGTAACAGAAAAGAAAACGGTAAAATCAACTGCAGAGTCCGTTAGACCAATTCCCAGGGCAACCAGACGAGAGCTGGCAGACCAGGGCCCTCGCCGAGGCCCGGCACCGTGAGTGACAGCAGCGGTCCCGGCCGGGCCTGGGCGCGCGCTCAGGCAACAGGAGCTGAGGAGCCGCGGGAGCGCGCGCCGCACGGAGGACGCCTGCCGGCGGAGACTGTGCACAGTGTCCAGCTGCTGGAGGAAATGAGGGTTTTCCACGGGATTCCACACCCGGTCAAACTGTGACGCAGTGACAGAATGCAGTGAAACGTGTTAGGTGGCCCGAGCACCGCCTCTCAGTCTGGTGGGAGATGCGGCCCCACAGGCAGTGGGGGAACCGGGAACGGCGCTCCGCGAGCGAGACGGAAGCCTGCGGGGGGCCAGCAGGAAGAGCACCGCGTGAGTCCTGCGCCCTTGGCGGGCCCCACTTTGTGCTCAGGACTGGTGCTGGGTGTGCCTGGCGTGGCTTCCGGGTCACAGGGTGATCCGTGGGGACGCTGGTGGTGAATACTGAACTCTGACCTCAGCTCAGGGAGGGACAGTGTCCGGAGCAGGTGGCAGGCTCAGCTGGCCCCCACGTCCCCATTCTCAGAACAGATGCAGCACGGCTGTGCAGCTAGTGCACCGAGGCCTGCAGACGGCCTCCTCATCCCTGGAGCCCTCGTGGGAGGCAGGTGCCCCGCCCAGCTGCTGTAAGCTGCTTGTGCAGACCCCTACACAGATGTGCTAGGACACTAACGTGTGCACAGAGGCACACATATGCATGTTCTTGGTACATCAGGAAGAGTAAGGACTATGACACACAACTACACAGTGCTCACCCCTAGGGCGGGGCAGAGGTCTGACTGCAAAGGGACTTCCTTCCTATCAACTTAGGACTCGGTGGTGAACACCTGCTGTGGTCTGTAGAAGGCCCCCAAAATCATTTGGTCTGGCCCAGCCAAGGAAACTGCAGGCAGGAATTCAAATTCAACAAATCTACAGCAGGCTATTTTTAAGTTAAAAATTTTGTATGGCCTGCAAATGTTATAAATATCCAAATGGCCCTTGGCAGAAGAAAAGATTCCCCACCCCTGAACTGCTTGAAAATCCTCCCTTAAAAATTGGAACTTGACAGAGTAGTTCCAGTAATAGAGAACAGCCTCAACTTTCTCGTCCAGCTGCTCCAGATGTTGAGGTTCATCTCAAAGCCGTCTGCTCCTGCCCGGAAGCCCTCATCCCTGATGTGAGGGCATTGCGGGGTTTAGGGAGGCGGGTCGATCTAGGGGTCAGTGCTGTCACAGACAGGTGGGAGGGGGATCTCTTTCCACCACAGGGGGACAGCAGGAAGGCAGCTTCCGGGAGCCAGGAGCTGAGCCAGCTGCGCCTTTGACTTTGAGAATGTGCGGGACCAACATCGGTGGTTGTCACTGAGCCTGATGGCCTGTTACTGCAGCCCAGCTGACAGAGACAGTGCACACACAGACACACAAGTTCATGGAAAGTGGGGTGAAAAGATAACTTTATTTTGGGGCAAAAAATGTGAAATGTGTGTATAGCTTTTAGTCGTACCAATTTCCCATGATCCTTTAGGAAGCACTGGCGTCTGTACAGGGCAGAGCTTCTGGAAGTTTATGGGAAGTGCATGTAACAAGAAAACTGTGCAGATTTCAGAAGTTTTTGCACCAAAATGATTTTATTTCCATTTTCCAAAGCTTTTTAAAACTTCCCATGTGTGTGTGTGCATGCATGAGAGAGACAGACTTTGAATGGTACACTGGATTGTTATAATTGGACCATCCTTAAAACTCAAACTACAGATTTGTTCTACGGAAGAAACAAACACAGTGAACACGCTGATGACCAACACTCCTTGGGATCTTTTAAACTCAGATTAAAATTCTGACTTGTGGCTAAAACATGATAATAGTGTTATCCTTTATAGTTTGAGTTACACCTAGAATGTTGCCTTAGTTTGATCATATGTAAAAATATATGAAAAAATCCCATAGAAAGATTAGAAAGCCAATTGAGACTATTTTAAAGATTTATTTATCTATTTGAAAGATTGAGAGAGAGAGGGAGAGAGAGATCTTCATGCCCTAGTTTGCTCCCCGGATGGCCACAATGGCCAGGGCTGGGCCAGGCAGTTGCAGGAGCCAGGAACTCCATCCAGGTCTCCCACATGGTGGCAGGGTTGGAACGAGTGTCCACATGGCATGGCAGGTGGCAGCTTAGCCTGCTGTACCACAGCCCAGCCCCCGGTTGTGACTAGCATGTTCTCTCTGGAGTCAACTGCAGTAGAACATGGTGGGGGGGGAGTGTGGTGAAGTTAGGGCTGAGAAACCTTCCAGTCCCTGGACTTCCGTCACCCCGGCCCTGGCCACAACTCTCCTGCCCCAGGTCTGCCTCTGAGTGACTTTGGCTACTTCTTATTTGAGGAGGTGATTCTGTAATCATTTCCAACTAAAGACAGTTATTTGAAAAAAAAAATGGTAATTTTTGTGCTATTACATTTTTCTGTTTCATCTTCAAAGCATGGAAATTATAAGGAAAATTTGACCTATGTGTTTGGTCAACTTAAATTTGAAATATTGGTCTGTTATTTTAAAAATCACTAATGTGGAAGAGGCTTCATGCCCCCAGCAGGAAGTGGTGGCTTGGTGGTCCATGCATTGTCAGGAAACAGCTTTTCTGCTGGCGCCAGTGGAGAGGCACCTCCCACCTGTGTCCCCTGGTGACAGCAGAGTCACCTCTACCTTGTGTCACAGTGGAGAGTCCCCCACTTTGTTTCCCTAGTGACACTGGAGGGTCACCTCCCTCTCTGTGTGCCTGGTGACACTAGAAAGTCACCTCCCTCGTGTCCCGGTGACAGCAGAGACTCCCCTCCACCTTGCGTACCTTTGTGACCGTGGAGACTCACCCCTGCCTTGTTTCCGAGGGTGACGATGTAGAGCCATCTCCCATCTGGCGAGTACCCTTAAGGTCTTCGAGAGTTATCTCCCACGTGGACAGACGCCTGCAGGGGCTGCTGAATCTGGCTAGAGGCTTCCCTGCTGTGGAGTGGTAGATGATGGGGCCGAATGGACTTCTTTCTCGCCATCAGTGCCATCCCCTGGGGGTTCCCAGCTTTTTGGCCACTTTTGGTCATTAAAGTGCAGCCCAGTTGACGGTACAGGGCCACGTCATTCAGAGGCCTAGCTCCTCCCTCCTCCCGGCCTCTACCCTTCTGCTCCTCAAGAGCCTCTGGGTGCAGGGACGTGTCCACGTGACGTGTGAGCTCAGTAACGACAGGCACGTCCTCCCCAAGTGACGTCACCTCCATGGCACCCAGTTCTGGCTTTTGATGCACATACATCTCAGTACTTCAGAGCAGACATGTGAACATGCGTGAGTCATCCACACTTTCCTCATCTGATGTAAGTAGGGGCTATTTGCTGTAGTCACAGCAGTGACCCCAGTACTCAACTCAGTTTCCATTTAAAGAGTTCTGAAGCCACGTGCTGGTGCATCGTCCTGTGATTTATCTGTCGTCTACGCTCAGTGTAACATGATCAGAAAACCTGCAGCACAGATAAATTTAATCAAACAAGATAGTTAGGGTCACTGCACTGCTGTGAGCCTGCTTGTGTGGCCGAGCGCTCGTCGCCACGTTGTGCTGAAGATTCTCCCGACTGTGTGAGCGGGTGTGCCTGCGGTGCGCTTCCTGGGGGCGCTGTGCCTTTCGGGGGGAGCCAGAGGCTGTGCTATGAGGGCTGAGGAGCGCCCTCCTGCCGGGCTGGGCGTCAGCTCTGCTCTTCTGGTCTTCCCCAATGGTCAGAAGGGCCGAAGGGCTGACGTTTGCCCGCAAAGGGCACTGCGGGGCGGGCAACGCTTCTGGCTTCCTCACCTGTTGGGAAACACGGCCCTGTGGTGACAGGGTGACGTCCTGGCCCTGGAGCTCCCAGGCCACGCCATGTGGGATGGGATTTGGAGACCTTCCTCACACCACCCACTGCGGGTTTTCCCGCCATCCCCCTTCCCTGCACATGCTGATGTCTTTTTTTTTCTTGGTATTGAAAGCTCATTTGCTGTTGTAAGCCGGAAGTGAGTCTCTCAGTTGAAAGACTTTGTTTTGTTGAGATCGTTCGGCAGCTGATCTCTGCAGGGCAGTTCTCTGGCTTGCGGGGGGACCCGGTCAGTTCTGACGCTCAGGCGTGAGGAGAGGTACAGGTTGTGGCTCAGCAGGTGGAGCGCTGGGTGTGCAGGTCACTTAGCGGGAGACTGACAGGACAAGAGTAGACTGCCCAGCATGGGGCTTCAAGGAAGGCAAGCACTTCCGTGTCTTGGGAAAGGAAAACTAGATCTGAGGAAAACTCTGGGAACCAGATAGAGCAGAGGAGTGGAAGGAAAGCCACACCGGTGTGGAGTGGCAAGGGCCGGGGTCAGGGAGAGTTCTGGAAAACGAGGAGGGGGCCGCAGTGGCCCGGGAGGGGTGGGCGGTGTCTGGGGAAACAAGTCTACACTGCAGTTTTGAGGATGCAGGCTGGGGTGGAGGGAGCAGGCTGTAGGCTGTGGGCACCAGCAAGGTGCAGGTAGGCTCCTGCGGTGTGTGGGTCGGGAAGATCCCAGAGCCTGGCAGCTGAGGGTGGTGACCGGAGAGGCGAAGGGAAGGGGGATGGTGGGCACCGAGTGGGTGCATGTCTGCCTTACGTGGGGCTATGT